TCCTGAGCGGTGGTGCGTCTGCTGGTGATGGCGGCCACTACGGGGCTGGTGGCGACGGCGGTCGCTACGTGGCCGGCGGTGGTATGTCTGCTGGTGATGGCGACCATGCCATGCGTGCCGGTGATGGCGTTCGTTACATCCCGAGCGGTGGCGTGTCTGGTGGCGACGGCGGTCGTTACATCCTGAGCGGTGGTGCGTCTGCTGGTGATGGCGGCCACTACGTGTCTGGTGGCGACGGCGGTCGCTACGTGGCCGGCGGTGGTATGTCTGCTGGTGATGGCGACCATGCCATGCGTGCCGGTGATGGCGTTCGTTACATCCCGAGCGGTGGCGTGTCTGGTGGCGACGGCGGTCGTTACATCCTGAGCGGTGGTGCGTCTGCTGGTGATGGCGGCCACTACGTGTCTGGTGGCGACGGCGGTCGCTACGTGGCCGGCGGTGGTATGTCTGCTGGTGATGGCGACCATGCCATGCGTGCCGGTGATGGCGTTCGTTACATCCCGAGCGGTGGCGTGTCTGGTGGCGACGGCGGTCGTTACATCCTGAGCGGTGGTGCGTCTGCTGGTGATGGCGGTCGCTACGTGGCCGGCGGTGGTATCCCTGCTGGTGATGGCGACCATGCCATGCGTGCCGGTGATGGCGTTCGTTACATCCCGAGCGGTGGCGTGTCTGGTGGCGACGGCGGTCGTTACATCCTGAGCGGTGGTGCGTCTGCTGGTGATGGCGGTCGCTACGTGGCCGGCGGTGGTATCCCTGCTGGTGATGGCGACCATGCCATGCGTGCCGGTGATGGCGTTCGTTACATCCCGAGCGGTGGCGTGTCTGGTGGCGACGGCGGTCGTTACATCCTGAGCGGTGGTGCGTCTGCTGGTGATGGCGGCCACTACGTGTCTGGTGGCGACGGCGGTCGCTACGTGGCCGGCGGTGGTATGTCTGCTGGTGATGGCGACCATGCCATGCGTGCCGGTGATGGCGTTCGTTACATCCCGAGCGGTGGCGTGTCTGGTGGCGACGGCGGTCGTTACATCCTGAGCGGTGGTGCGTCTGCTGGTGATGGCGGCCACTACGTGTCTGGTGGCGACGGCGGTCGCTACGTGGCCGGCGGTGGTATCCCTGCTGGTGATGGCGGCCATGCCATGCGTGCTGGCAATGGCGGCCACTACATCCTGGGTGGTGGCGTGTCTGGTGGCGACGGCGGCCACTACGCGTCCGGCCACGGCACATCTGCCGGCCACGGCGGCCATGCCATGCCTACCGGTGATGGTGATCCACACGTGCATGACAGTGGTATCCCTGCGGGAGATGGCGGTCGCTACATTGCAACCAGTGGTGTATCTGCTGGCCACAGGGTTCACCACATCTCGAGCAATGACGCCACCGCCGGCGACGGTGCTTGTTACGTGTCCCGCTGTGGTGACTCTGGTGGTGATCGTGACCGCCTCGTCCCAGGCGGAAGTGACGATGGCGGGCTCATCTCCCCCAGCGCCAACGACCATTCTGCCACCGACCCACACCTTGATCCGGCCACCAGGCTCCCGCTTGCCTCGCCCTCGACCCGCCCACGTCCGGGTGACATTGTTCTTGTTCCATTCCCGGGCGCCCTCCCCACCGGCCTGCACCCACACCCGTAGCCCAGGTGAAGACCACTCCACTTGCATCTCTTCCTCTCTCATGTCAGCCTCCCCTCCCTCCGCTGAACTCTCTGCCCGCGCCCGCGGCGGCATGGTCGGCCTCGCCGTGTGCGACGCCCTCGGTACCTCGGTCGAGTTCTGCGCCCGCGGCTCCTTCCCGCCCGTCACCGATCTCCGCGGCGGCGGCCCGTTTGATCTCCTTCCAGGCCAGTACACCGACGACACGGCTATGGCTCTTGCCTCGGCCTTTGTCCTACTCGACTCCGGGTGGCGGTCTGATCCTCACCATGCTGCCGCTCTCCTCGATGCCTACGCCGAGTGGTGGCGGAGCGGCCACTGGTCTCCCAACGCCCGCTGCTTCGACATCGGACGCACCGTCTCGGCCGCGCTACGGGTCTATGCTGGTCACGCCGATGATTTATCTTCTCGCGATGCTTGGCTCGCCCGCGCTATGGCTGGTGATGCCGACGACGACCGCAGATCGGGCAACGGGTCGCTGATGAAGGTGCTGCCGCATCTGCTAGCCTCGGCTGCTGCCGTTGCGACCGCGCCCGACCCGGCCACTGCCGCCACACGGGTCATCGCTGCCGCCGTTGACGCCTCGCGACTCACCCACCCGTCCGCCATCGCCTCTGACTGTATCTCCATTTACGGCATGATGGTGTTTGGCGCCCTGCTCGGCTACGAGACCGACGCGGCGGCGCTGATGCCGGACGCCGACGGCACGCCGTACACCCTGCCGGGCCTCGACCCGTCCAAAGTTTGGGCCTCGCTCTGCGAACCAGTCCGCAGCATGCTTGCGACACGCGCATATGCCACGGCTATGCCCGACGAGTCTGGCGATCCCGGCGAGGCCATCACAGCCTCCGGCTACGTCCTCAAATCGCTCGAGGCCGCCATGTGGGCGCTCAACCATGCCAACGGCTCGTTTGAGCGAGGTGCGACGCTCGCTGTCAACCTTGGCGATGACGCCGACACTGTCGGTGCCATCTATGGCGCACTGGCCGGAACGCTCTTTGGCGAGGCTGCTATTCCCGAGTCCTGGCGCAGCGAGCTGGCACACGCCGCGCTCCTCGCTGCAGTTGGCGAGTGGCTTGTGGCCATGCCGTCGCTCGACGCCGACGTGGGCGCTCTGACATCAGAAAATGCCGGTGCCACCGCTGCCGATGCGCTCCTCCGCGTCGTCGAGTCCGGATACCATGCTATCTACAACAAGTTCTCGCCTGGCCCCGGCCCGCCGTGCGTGTGGCCGGGCGGATACCCGTCGACCGACGCCATGCAGACTGACGTCGACGCCAAGTTAACGGCTGCATTTGCGGCAGCTGCCGATGCCGAGCCTGGGTACGACTCGGGAGTCCACGACTGCATCCTGGCCACATTTTCCAAGCAGGCCGCGGCCGACAAGGCGATTCTGGAACGTGCACTGCGCGCGCGCCCAGCTCGCACCTCGCTGCTTGGCGCCATCAAGCTGGCCAAGTCGAGTTGAACTTGCTTGATGGCTACTTGTGCTTGGCCCGTTTCAAGTTGGCGTGGCTCTCCGCGTCGTCGCGGCGCCGCTTGCCCGGACTTGACCCGGCGTCGCTCGGTGCGGGCGACGGAAAGTCACCAGGAATGCCAGAGACACCACTCACACCACCGAGGAGCTGGCGGGTGAGCGGGCCCATGGCAGACGAGCTTGGGAGCGCGAGCGACGGCGTGACGCCAAGGCTTGGCGAGGTGCCAGATGCCGACGCAACGGAGGCCGACTGTGAACGCGAGCGGCCTGTAGAGCTGCCGAGATTGAGCTTGAGATTCTTTTTGTACCTCGCGGTGGGCGTAGTCGAATCGTGTCGGCCTGCCGCAGCCTGCGGCGTTGTCCCACCCGACGGTGGCGGATGCGCCTCAACCTGGGGCACGTTGACCGATGGCCGCTGCGGCGATGCCTGAGCGGCGGTGGCCTGCCCCACCGGGTCACGGACCGAGATCATGGCGTAGGATGGGTCTGTCGGCTCGCCGGCTGGAGGCGCGGGGTCGAGGATGCCGACTGCCATGTTGCTGATAGTCTGCAGCTGCGCGCGAGTCCGCGGGGTAAAGATGTTGTCATCACCGGGCGTCTCTAGTAGCGACGACGCGCCAAAGATGCTTGAAGGCGAGAGCAGCTGGGTTGCTGCTGACGGCGGAAGGAGGAGCGTTGTCGAGCCAAGCGAAAAGATGGCCGACGGCGGCGGCTCGATGACGTTCACATCGCCTATGCTCTGCATCGCATGCGGAAGGCCGCTGGTCTCCACCGGCGGCGACGAGCCGGCGGCTTGCGACGGCTCGTTTCCTGCCGGGTTGACCAGCATTGACGAGGCCGCTGCTGGCGGTGCGCCCTTGACCACGCACTCCTCAAGAATGCGCATCTGCTGTTCTGCGGCAGAGACAGCGCGCTGGGCGACGGCAAGAACAGCCCGGGCGCGGTCGACCTGCTGGCGGGCGCTGTCGAGTGCCTCTTCAGCGGTGAGAATGGCCTGCTCCTTGCGGCGCATAGCGGTAGATACCTTGGCGGTGCCTGGCGCCGAGTAATGCTCGTCGTATGCCTCATCGGTCACCTCCTCGTTGGGAATGCCCGTCAGCAGGGCCACGGCCGAGTCGACGCAACTGCCCTCCGAGGCGTACGAGTAGACTTCATCCGCGGACACCCTATCCCGCGAGATAAGCAGGACAATGCGGCAGCCTGTAAGAATGGACAGCTCCATGGCCTTCTTCATCACTCCGTACTTGCGCTTGACAAACGTGGTCTGTCTCGGGCACCCATGCAGGGCGGCGGGTTT